ATATATAAGCTCATAGTTTGGTTCTGTGCACTTGTTCTAATTTTTGTCAGTTTCAGCCTGAATTTGCATATAAGTAATTGATGGTCTGCTCCACAGTCTGTCCCTGGCCATGTTTTGACCTATTATATGGAACTTTTCCACTGTCTCTTTTCACAGATGTAGTCAATATGATTTCTTTGTATTCTATCTGGTGACATCCATATATATAATAATATTTATGTTGTTTACAAAAAGGTATTTGCAATGAATAAGTCATTGGTGTTGCAAAATTCTATCATGAGATTTCCAAGATCATATCTTCCAATGACTGATCTTTCCTCTTTGTTTCCAACCTTTGCATTCCAATTGCCAGTGATTATCAATCCATCTTGATTGCATGTTTGGTTGATTTAAACTGAAGAATTTGGTAGAATTCTTCCCTTTCATCTTCACTGGCTTTAGTGGTAGGTGCATAAATTTGAATAATAGTGGTATTAACTGGTCTTCCTTGTTGGCATATGGACATTATTCTATCCCAGACAGCATTATAATTCAAGATAAATCTTGAAATGTTCTTTTTGGTGATGAGTGTGATGGCATTCCTCCCCAATTTGTCATCCCCAGGATAGTAAACCATATGACTGTCATATTCAAAATGGTCAATATGAACCCATTTCAGCTCACTAGTGCTTAGGATATCAATCTTTATGTGTCCCATTTCATTTTTAACAATTTCCAATGTTTCTAGATTCATATTTCATACATTGCATGTTCTAATTACTAATGGATGTTTGCAGCTGTTTCTCATTTTGAGTTGTGCGCCATCAACAAATTAACATCCTGAAAGCTCTACTCCATTCAAGTCATCACAGCCAACACTACTTTGAGAAGGCAGCACTTCCTCAGTCATATTTTGAGTATCTTCCATCTGAGGGCCTCATACATTTTCAGGAACTCTCTGACAGTATTCTAGTACTCTTTATCATGTTACAATATTCAATATTCTTGTGCTATCTGACAGTGTTTCACTGCTATCTATAAGGTTCTCAGTGGCTAAAGTTTGGAAATAGTCTGCTCCTATTATTCGTTTTTTGATACTCCTCATATTTTCTCACATTGAGTTGACAAGTCCTTGGAAAGGAGTTCTGGTAGCATAGTGGTTACGAATCGGGCTGCGAACCACAAGGTCAGCAGTTTGAAACTACCAGCAGTTCCACCGGAGAAAGATGAAGCTATCTGCTCCCGTAAAGATTTATAGCCTCAGAAACCCTGTTCAGGGTTGCTATGGGTTGGAACCGACTCAACGGCACTTAACAACAACAATAAACTACACAAAAAGACTTCTGTCATCTCTAGTACATAGTTACCTTTATTAATTCTTTACTCTGAGCCAGGTAATTTGCTATTTTATGAATTATTTGAATCTTACAATAATATCATATGACAGTGATCTTCATTTGTCTCCAAAAGATCTGTATTATTTCTAAATTATTGTTGTTATGTGTCACTCAGTCAGTTCCAACTCATAGCAACCCAAGAGGAAACTGGTAGGTTTGAACTGTGCCACACCAGGAGTCCAAAGAGAAATGAATACTGAGGCAATATGTGAGATAACTTGCTATATAGTAACCTAAGTCTGTCATGCTTTTTAATCCCACATATTATATATCTTTGTACTTTCTATAGAATAATTAGAAATGTTGATATGACCTGCTTATTAGTCATTTGCTAGTTAATAGGAAGAGCTGCTGCTATGCATTTAAAGAGACAACTATAAAAGTACAACCAGTATTTGTTGCTGTTGTGAGTGTCGTCGAGTCAGTTCCGACCCATAGCGACCCTGTACAGGGTTTCCAAGGAGCACCTGGTGAACTTGAACTGCTGACCTTGCAGTTTAAATGGCTTTGCTGTCTGGTGCATTAACCCACAGCGCCATACCAGGACTCCATATTGGCATTTGTTAGTAGTACAATATATGTAAACTTAGGGTTCTGTGTCAACTTGACTAGGCCAGGATTTCCAGAGGTTTAGCATTTGAAATAGGCTTATTTGCATGGTGATATACCTAATACAGATGTAGTTAACGCTATGGTAAGTGACTATGAGCAGTCAATCTGTTAAAGAGATGCTTCTTTGGAGGTGTGGCTTGCTCCCAATATAATGGGCACTTGAGAAAGTCTCTCTTTCTCTTCTGCTGGTGACCTAGGATAAGCCATTTTCTTGGTAGTAATCTTCTTTTTACACACATACACACACACACTGGTGTGGTGCTGAGGGTTAATGCGCTGGACTGCAAGGT